CAGCACTATATCAGGACTCAGTAAATGTTATCTGCTGCTGTCATATTTTCGTAACAGTTGTGTTGTCATATCACCCTCAACTACTGCTGATCCTTATACCAGACTTCTGAAAAGTCATTGAAATAAACTTTGCTATAGAGCATGGTGCTGTAGGATCAGTACTGGACTACACACCACAATGTCAGAAGCTCAAACTCACCAACCGCTCCTTGTACAGGGTCGCTATGAGCCTCCCAGCTGCATTTCCATTTTGATCCATACTGGTGCCCCACTTCACTGGGCAAGAACACTTGTCACAGTCACAATGTCAGCCTAATTCCCAAATTCAGAAACACCTTTTAACTGCCTTGATCTTGTCATTTTTTATTACTTCCTGTTTCTTTAAATCTATTAAATTCTTTAGCATTACCTGGCAATGAAGATTTTGGCTACTTAAAGACCTAAAGTACAATTTAATTATTGTTAAGTGTCGTCCAGTTGGTTTTGACTCATAGTAACCCTGTATAGGGTTTCCAAGGAGCTGAAAGCTAACCTTTCAGTTGTGAGGTTAGCGCATGACCAGGCAGTATTTCATTCGGTTGTACCTAAGGACACACTGAATCAGAACCAACTAGATGACATCTAAAAACATGTTTAAGAACTTGATCTCTAGAATCTTACTCTCTGGATTCATATCCTAACTCAATCATTTATTTACTCCTGGCTCTTCCACTGAGAACTTCCATGTAACCTCTCTGAGCTACTCCCTTTCTTTCTTTGTAAAATGAATGTAACAATCCCTGCCTCACGGAATTTTTGAAGACCAAACAAGAGAATTCATATAAAACATAGATTATAGACCTGTCACTTTACTCTTCTTTCTCAAAACATATTCAGTGTTAATTGTAGCCAAACATCTAAATACCCTTATAAAGATCCAGGGTATATATAGTACAGCAAGCCTGTTATACAGGAATGTCCTCAGGGCTGTTTTAAGCTGGGAGGGGAGATGGATGCAGTTATCATTTTTCTCCTGTTTGCAGGTTGAATTTTACAGAATTTGTTTTTGCTCTGCCTTTATGCATATATTACTGTTGATTGACAATAATTTTCCTGGGAGCCAAATAATTTTAATAGAATGATATTTTAAACAGTGGAAATAGGCTTAATTGAGGACTGGCGAATTTTCTTCAAGCACTGCATGGACCATTTGAATAGGTCAAGAGCTATATTAACGCCTTAGATGACTTTCGGACTGGGCCTGTTTTAAAGAACTAGTGCATCTCTGATCACTGACCCAGATGAGATAGAATATTGTCATTTTTTCCCCACCTAGTTAAATTAAGCCTAACAGTTGAGAAAGGGAAGTAAGAGGATTAGTATCATAAATCTCAAAGCTGGTTACTTAGTGACAGAATCTGAACTAGAACCCACGTGTTCTTCTAACTCATGATGTTTCTGATCATGACCATCCTGTATGTAGATGTATCATCTTGTAAGGAGCCCTGGTGCTGCTGCAGGATAAGCACTGGGCTGCTAACCTCAAGGCCAGCAGTTCAAACCCACCCACCATTCTGTTGGAGAAAGATGCTTTCTGCTCCCGTAAAAGATTTACAGCCTTGGAAAACCCCATGCAGGGTCACTGAGTCTGAAATGACTTGACAACTATAGTTTAATTTAAAAAATTAAAATATATGTCAAGCAGAGAATCCCCATGTCTCTTCAGGTGACTCCTCTGCTATCAGTGGTTCATTCCTTGGTGACCAATTTGACCCCATAAACCTACCTGAAATCACAACATCTTTGTGTTGTCACTGTTCTGCCCATACATGTTTAGCAGCCAGATGTGTCCTTGTAGGTCCAGACCTTTGTGGGATGTTACTTCAGGCTCCTGGGGTTAATTAACACTACCCAGTACTCCTCTCTGTGTACATAAGCACTTCTTGCTGGATTCTGCTATCGTATTACATAATGGATTGTCCAGTCTCAAATTCTGCTTTGTAAGTTAAATTCTCAACTGTTTTCCTCTTTGGCACTCTGAAGCGTAGCATGAAGGGAATCAAAGGTAGAAAAAGGAATCCAACGTGGAGCAGTGACTCCTCTCAAAACAAATAGCCGTGCTCTGGCAGACAGGAGGCAGGCTTACAGAATGTGCCCTTGGCTTGTTTAAGTGATTAAATATTGTGGAGTTTTTTTTGTGTGGTGGTGTTAAGTGCCATTGAGTCAGTACCGACCCATAGCAGCGATCCTGTATAGGGTTTCTGAGGATCAGCTGGTTTAGTGTACACCCCCCTCAAAACCAAAACAGAAGCAAATACTGTTGGATGATGATGCAAGGAAGGGATTGCGATCATTGCAATGAAATGAGTGTAAAACTGATGTTCTCCCTTGTAAACTGTCACTCACTTCACAATAAAAATGGGGGTGGGGGGAAGACAACTAATAGGTTTACTACTACATTGCTCCAGTGTTGCCAGGGCTCAGTAAGGACTTAAAGTGAGTGGGTTGTTCCTCCTGCTTGTCTTTTTTTTTAATGTTTTATTGTGAATTATATGATAGTTTACATGAGAGAACCTCAGTTCCATATTCATTCCATCGTATATCATTACATTGCCATGGTTCCAATCCCCTCCATGCCTCGTCTTCCGACCAAAGGGCATATCCTAGAAGCCCATGCTCTACCCTCCTTCCTCCCCCCTCAGTCTTCGGCCCACAGTTCCTTTCCCTCTCTGGATCCAAAGTCCCCAGCCGCTTCATGCCTCCTTGTCATCATCTCTTGTCTCCATCTCAGGCACCCCCGGTTCTCTGGGTGGGGTCCCATTCTTGGCTCTTATCTGTCGGTGGACCCAGAGACCTCCGCTCCTAGACTGGAGAAATAATCACTGTCTTTCCCGCTTGTCTTTTAGAGAAAACTGATATTCTTTGACAATAAACTTAGGTAGCACTTAAAGGATAACAGGCACTGATTGCCTAGATCTGAGAGAATGTAAGTATGTTTGCAGCTTCAGCTTAAATCACACACTGATCCCAGACAGGGAGTCAAGTCCCATGGGAAAGAGCTTATCTCCTCTTCTGTGCTTCCTTGAGGACACACTGTAAAGGGAACTGATGAAAGAGCCTATTTAAGGTTAAGAACAATGAATGATCCTATTACTCTTCTTAAAAGATTCTCTTTTGGGCCAGATGCTCTGCCTCCTATCAAAGCCTTCCCTTGTTACTGCCTGACAGAGACCTCACTCTCAGACCCAGATTTCTTATCTTTGCCAGCCTTCACACAAAGTTGTTTTCTTCTGCTTTCAGGGCATTCTGTTTACTTTTCTCTGGCATAGTAGGTACATTATAATGAATCTATGTCTCTCTCTTTTGTAGCCTTCCAAGTGCCTAAGCTTAATGCCAACAATTTATCAGGCGTCTAGTCAAGTTTCATTAGCAGTTTACTGTATGGGAAGCCCTTCATCTCCAAGATCTACTAGCTTATCATTCCTTGCTCTATGTAGCCTTGCCTCAATTAAAATTCTAGTGTTCCTAATTATTTTCATTTTACAAGTGATTTGTTTCCTTTTCTATCTAGGCAGCATAATTCGCTGTATGAGACGCTTAGAAGAATTGCTTCGCCAGATGTGTCAAGCAGCAAAAGCCATTGGAAACACTGAGCTGGAGAATAAATTTGCAGAAGGTTAAGTATCTAATCCATAAGCTTCTTATTAATGCAGGTGAATTATAGGAGACTCACATCCTTGACCACAACACCTAGAAGGACACTGTCAGATGCTCAGTCAGATAACTGTGGAGGGACACCTAATAGTGTTCATATAAAACTTCAGAGCATTTGTGTGCAACAAAAGTTTTGAGATTACATACATTCATTTACAAATATTTATTGTGAGCTTACAATGCTAAGCATTGTTTTTAGCAATGAAGAATACAGCAGTGAACAAAAAGACACATTCCTGCCTTCATGGAGCTTACATTCTAGTGGAAGAGATGGACAATCAACAAGTCAATGATTAAAATATATCAGATAGTGATAAGCACTACAGGAAAAAACAAAGCAGGTAAAAAGAATTAGGAGGCTCTGAGGTGGGGAAGATGCCAGATATATATTTGAGTAATGAGTAGTAGAAACTGGAATATGAAAGGAAATATTCATGTAGCTCCCAGCCCCAGCTTATCTTTACTCTGAAATGATTGGAGGATTTGAGCACAGGAGTGGTATACTCTGACTTGGGTTTTACAAGGATAATTGTTAGAAAGGTGGAAGCAAGAAGACCAGATCAAGAAAGGAAGGTAGTAGTAGTGATTGGGGAAGTGAGGCTGAGGCTTGCTTTTAAATAGTTTTGTTCTTTCCCCTTGAATTATAAGAATTCTGATAGATAGCATGAAAGAAAATAACACATCCAATATTGTATGTCAGTCAGGCAAACCATCCTCATGAACACCACATTGTTGATAGAGGTGTCTTCAATCAGACATCAATCAGGTTTGGATATTTTTTTTAAAACAGAAAGATTGTATCCTGCCCTTATTACAGAAAGAATTTCACATTGTAACTGCAAAATACATGTTTTCTGATATAGGTTGAAAATCCATGCTTTTGTAACAATTAATGCTTTTTAATGATGCTTCATCTCCTTTGATAAATTTACACATATTACCCACACAGATGGGGGTGCTTTAACGGGTTTGGTGTCTAAGCTTTTGACCTCTGGTGTCTTTCACCACCAGCAGAATTTTTAATTTTCTATATTTAAATAATCAGGATTATTGTGTGGCTTTCAAAACACCACTTGAGTGCAGGGGTATATTCTGTGTGATCTTGAAGTTTAAAGCATATTTTCTTTTCTTAGGTATCACCAAAATCAAGAGAGATATTGTGTTTGCTGCAAGCCTCTACTTATAAAGCATCAAGCTAAAGGAATGTGCAATTTGAAACTACTCACCACCTGTCTGGATATGATTGACTACAAATGCTTACTAACAGCATTGATTTGGTTTTCCCATCTCAAAATATATGTCTGCAAACATTTTAATTTGTATTATATTTAAATCAAGCATCATTCTTTCCAAGCATATTACATACAAATTTGTACATAGCATTGCATTTTTTTTCTTGTTTTTAATAAAAAATGTACAGGTGGGGCATTGCTTTAGTGAAGGGCTTGAATTTTTTTTTTTTTAATGAACTCTGAGCTATTAGATAACCATTCTGTTAAATGTAACTATATACACACAGGTAACTGGGGCATCCAAGAGAGGAATAGCAGCAGCAGTCCCTTAAGGCCTGTGCCCCAGGAAGAAAGGTGCATCCTGGTGCCTCTGGTGTGATCCTTTTCCTTTAGAAAGCAGGCGGCTTCATCACCCTGCCACTTTCAAGGTTGGTGATTGTTCCCATAGTGATTTCCAGAGGAGGCAGTTTCATGCAGTGTTGTATGCGAGTCCTCCTCTTTTCTTTCTTTAAAAGAAGAATCTTTCTCCTTGAAGAAATCTGATACATACACAGCCTATAGAATAGTAAATACAAACAAAAGGCTACATTAGGGAGTACAAATAAAGAGGATAAAAATGCAAATACTTTCATTCTGTAGGTAAAATCTTCTATAGTAAAATATACAGTAGGGTTTTCTAACTTTTATGATTAGTAACCTAGTTTTTACCTGTTGCGTATCCTAAATTACTTTTAATAACACCAATAAGTGTGCCATATTCTCTACCTTTACAGAATTTCTTACTTGGGGCAAAGTTTATCGTATATCAAGATGTAGGCTGCTGCCCCATATACTTACAACTAATATTGCCACCAGAGCCCCTTGAATGAATCCAGTCAACACGTCACTCCAGTGATGTTTGTAATCAGAAACTCGAGAAAGACCCACATAGATGGATGCGGCAACAAGACCAAATTGCAGTGTTGGGCGTAAGAGTCTTGCCCAGTCTCCCTTCATCCTGGCTTGAAGATAGAGCTAAGAGAAAAGATAGGAACAATTTATAGTACAAACTGAAAACTACTTTTATTATAAACATAGATCTATTCAGGGAGGAGTTAATTAGAAAGCCACATGAAAAATAGGTATGCTCAGGATTACAGATGAATTTGCATCATGATTGTGACTAATTTGTGATATCTTATATTGACCTATTATCATCATCTTGATACTGACTCATAAAGTCTTCAGGTATCCTGGATACAAGGTTACCCGACCCTGGACCAACCTACTGTATTTGCTGGGCATTATATCCACATGTGTGGATGTAACCCCTGGACTACTTAAGTTTTATGACTTCTAAACTTAAGAGTGTCCAAAGATTTCCCCTTTTCCTTCACTTAAAAAATTCTGTTCAGGAATGTATGGCTCATCTATTAATTAAAGTCATCCGAAAACTCTGCTTGTTTACACAAATCCATTCCCAGTTTACTGGGCACTGATGTTGGAGGTCAGTTCTCAGCAGCTGGCAAAGACCCAGAGGTTGTCTTAATCTTCTCAAGTACTAAATATGAACATCTCATTCTGAAAGAGCACATCACTTATTTGACTCACTTGTCAGTGCTATCAGTCATCTTGAGGGGTGCCCCCCTTTTTTACAGACTATTATATAGTAAATGGGCTTCTGCTGTGGTGCTGTAGGATCAGCACTGGATTGTGAATCACAAGGTTGGCAGTTCAAGCCCACCAACTGCTCCTTGAAAATCCTATACAGGGATGTTATGAGTTGGAACCAATTCAACGGCACTTAACAGGCAACAACAAAGTTACATTGCCAGGAACTTGTTTCTAAATTGTGGAGTAGGGAAGGTAACTTGGTTCTAGTTGAAGCACAGTTGGTATTGGCTTTTTTTTTTTTTTTTTAAAGAAAAGCTTTTAAGTTGAACTGGGTGAACCGCACATATCTCAGGTGGATATAATACCCTTCACATTGGTTAGTATATTGGCACCTGGATTCCGGCAGGCTCTGCTCCAGATCTGCAGAACCCACAAAGCCTCCAGGCTAGAATTAGACAAGCAGGAACCTTCAAAATCAGCCACCCTGCCACCAGCTGCCCTCTGGTTCTGACAGGCACTGAAACTAGCCACCTGAAGGGCCTTCACAAACTACTTCCATATTGGGTGGCCAGAACTCAGACAACACCTGTTGTTAAGTGCCATCGAGTCGGTTTCGACCCATAGCGACCCTGAATAGGGTTTCCGAGGCTGTAAATCTTTATGGGAGCAGATCGCCTCATCTTTCTCCCGCGGAGCAGCTGGTAGTTTTGAACTGCTGACCTTCCGGTTCACAGTCCGATTTGTAACCACTACGCTACCAGAGCTCCTTACCAGACAACACGTAGGACTGTAGAAATTTGCCTGTCCCATCTCCTCCAGATACCTTGTGTGAGTTCTTGGGTGTGAGTCCAACAACTTCACTTTGTTTCCTTTCACTATTTCGTTGTTTTTGTTTGCTTATTCTTTCTTCTCCTTCCTCTCTCTCCCTTCTCTTTATTTTTATCCTAGTTCTTTTCCTTCCTTCGGTTTCTCATTCCTACCCTCTTATTTTTTAGTCTCTGGACTTTTCTTTTTACTCTCTTTTGTCTCTTTTCATTGTCCCTTTAATTTTCTCTTTTCTATTGCATAGACTATTTTCTTGTCCCTCTTTTTTTTATTCTTTGCTGCCTGTTTTAGTTTCTTTTTTTCTCTTTGATTGTACTCTGTTTTTGCTATTTTTTTCCATGTTTGTTTAGTCTGTTTTGTTTTCCTGTATGTGTTTTCTACTCTTGCCCCACATGACAGGAGATAGTGAACATGCCCAGATGACTTAGCCATACCATATCCTCTACAAGTCCGCCCAGTGAACAGGAACAAACACCAGATGCTATTCACCTAATCAACAATAGACACTAGCCATATCTACCATTACCTGAGCTGCACAAACAGCAAATGGAGACTGGTACACACATTAACAATCTCTAATCACACCACCAGGAGCTAGCTGGTGAAAGCCTCTGGACACACCAACATACAATAATCAACTAAATACAAATACAACATCACAAGGTTTCACAGACAACAGATGGTTTAGCCCACACAAGCAAACACTAAAGAGTGCATAATACAAATGACCAAGAAGCAGAGCCAGAAATTGTTTATAAGGACGAAAAAGCAATGGAACTACTTAAGAATTCACAAAGACTGAGAAAAGTAAGGAAAACACAGAAAAAAACATTAGGAGAATTTAGGAGAAATTACAGTCTCCTAAACACACAACATAAATGCAAATTTTGAAATACTACAAAATCTGTGAATAGAAATGCAGAAGATTAATGCTAAGCTCTCAGAAATGAACAATACATTGAAAGGGCAAAGGAGTGTATTTGAATCAACAGAAGCCTGAATTAGTGACATTAAAGATAAATCTCTTGATACTAAAAAGAACAATCAGAAAAAAGAATGGGAAAACAAGAAGAAAGCCTATGGGATACCATGAAGATGAATTAACCTGGGTGATCAGAATTCCAGAACAGGAAAAGACAATAAAAAGCAAGGAGAAAATCACTGTAGGGTTGCTTCACTAACATCATGAAACATGAAAACATTACCATTCAGGAAATAAAGAACCCAAAACAGGATAGACCCTAAAAGAAAATCAACACATGAAGAAACTTTACAAAACCAAAGACAACAAAAGAATCCTAAGAACAGCTAAAGAAAAAACCGTAAAGATACCTACAAAGGAGAACCAACAGGACTAATCTCTGATTTTTCAGCAGAGACGATGGAGGCATGAATATAATGGGATGACATACACACAATTCTGAAAGAAAAAAATTGCCAATCAAAAAACATATACCCAGAGAACAAAAAAAGATGGCAGATCAGGTAGAAGTGCAGTGAGGAGCTCCGTCAGCAACAAAACAGAACACCAGACCAAGCTGGCTAGGGATGGTCCCAGAACTCTGAACCACATATAAAGGAATATTTAGAAAGCTGAAAGGCCTACAGCTGATGGAATTTGTAGCAGAAGCAAGAAATCCAGTGCTTTCTAATGTAAGGTGCTCAGCTGCTACAGGCATGGCCATGTTGGTCAACACCAAGCAGGTGAAGGATCAGAGCAGCCACGGACGCCTGACAGAACTGAAGACATAAAGGTGTGCACATTCCTTTATTTGTTATCTGTTCCTTGGTCTCTCGCTATCTGCGCACCTCCATTCTGGTGACTATAGAGTGGGTGCCTGAGCCAGTGGACACCCCAACCCACTCCCTGAACAGTTCTATTACACATGCGCACACAGATCTGCTCCAAAATTTAAAAGGACAGTTTCCACTTAACACCAAACAGCAGCGCAAAACAGCCACAGCTGTCCCTGAACTGTTTATCACTAGGGAAAAAAAAAGAGGCAGAAAATTAAATTCTGAGTTATGTCACAATGACCAATGGTGAGATCTTGAAATTTCAGGAAGAATGAAAGAAAAGCCAATCTCCTGATCACATCTACCTGGAGGCAATCAGAAAACATAAAAAATACCAAAGCACACACCAATCTAAGTATTAAGGCCACAGATAACTCCTGAATATTCCCCCAAAACAAACAGATGACCATATCAGCACATACCCAGAAACGAGATACAGGAACTGAGGTAAATGAGCTGGAAGTAGACCTATACTCCATACTGGAAGATAGGCAGGCTTTGGAAATGCCAGAAGGAATTCAGAAAAAATTATTATAAAATGTATCAAAACCCTTTATAACAGAGTTAAGAAAAAGAAGGAAGAAGTCAGGAAACTGCTATAGGAACAATCAAATAAGACAGATACAGCATTGCAAACAGAACAAAACCTATAGAAAGAGTTCCAAACGATTAATAATAGAATGCCAGAAATGGACAATACACTGAAAGGGCAAAGGATTAGAACTTTAGAGCTACAAGTCAGAACTAGTGAACTAGAAGATAAATGTCTCATTACTAAGAAGAGCAAGCACAAAAAAGGATTAAAAGATCTGAAGACGGTCTAAGATTCATGTTGGACATGAAGAGGCATACTTAAAGTCCACAGAGGAGATAGGAAAATTTTCTTCCAGAAGCTTTTCAACTAACATCCTGAAAAGAGAAAAGACAAGCACGTAAAGAAGCTCAATGAATCCCAGGATGGATGCACTCTAAAAGACAATCACCAAGACATATAATAATCAAGCTTTCCAAGATCAGAGATACAGAGACTCCTGAAAGCAGCTAGGGAAAAGAAAAGTGTAACACACAAAGGCAAGCAAATCAGATTAAGCTCAAATCTCTCCACAGAAACCATGCAGGCAAGAAGGCAATGGGGAGA